TGTACCATTTTCGCAACGACCGGACAGAGAGCGTTCAGACAGCGTTCAAACTCGACCGCGCGAGAACGTATGAAAACTTATGTAACGTATGTAATTTATGGAAAAATCACATTATTTCGGCAACTTAAAACAGCACTTAAAAATCTCTGCTTTTATTCGTAATTTGGGATTACATGAAGAAAACACAGAAACGATTGGTAAAATCTATTTTCTTGTTCGACAAAATTTAGAGGCTGAGAATAAACATAAAATCTTATTGGTTTTCTTCTTCACTTATCGTTATTGTTACAAAATCACATTTCCGTGAATAACAAGTTATATCTTTGCCGTTGTCTTCCACTTTCACTACTTTTTCAATTAGAGTATTTTTTAAAAACATACCCGTGGTAAAATTCATACTCTACACCAAATATGTCGAAATAGTTTCTGTGCAAAGTCTTCTGTCCTCTTCTTCCGTTCTGAATAACAGAGGTGTCATAGCTCGAGAGAAGATTCTTCGCAAAATATGTAATTACATTGATTAATTAGCCAGCAATTAGATCAAAATGCACAAGCAATGTCCTTAGTGACGTAATAAGTGATTATATAAACACAACATGGAGGAATGCTAAGCAGCGAACTTGAATCATAGACAAATTATAGATGCATTATATATATACGTGTGTTTTACATATTTAATGCTTTGTGTTACTACTCGTAATTCAGTATCCAAGCGATTATCCCCAAGGAAGCATCTACTGCTTTACTTTACACCGCATTTAGTGTTATCGCGCGTGATCACATCATCGTTTACGCGTGTGTAGTCTTGTATTCTGTAAATTGTCGTATTTCCGCTAATATTTGATTTTTCATCAGTTTCAATCGTCTTCAACTTGAGGCGAAATTATTGCGACCATGTACCCTATAACATAAATGAAAAGTTAATCTATATGTTACTATCTCAAGTAACTTTTTATTCTTCTTCTTTTGCTGCTAGCTGATTCGGACGTATTGCGATTCTAATCTTTCCGATCTTTCTATATCGTTGCACGTCTTTTCCCACATTCTTGCACATCTTCCTCTACATTGCTGCACATTTTCTCCCACATTGAATATGTGGCTATTCTCTAGAATGCTATATCATATGTCCACATATAGAGAAGCATTGCTACGAGGGTCATATTAATTTCTATTTTGTAAACTGGTCTAACTAAATGAATTTTGTTAGATGTCTTGTTATATCTCAATTGCTCTCCTTGTTCTTAGATTCGACATATTCACAACAGAGCGATCCAGAATCAGATAATAGCGATCAATTTGTAGAAAGTGTTTGTTAATAAATTTTACAATACGACATAGAAGAAAACGTTCAATACGTTAAGAATGAAAATTATCGAACGGAATAGAAAAAGGGGCTTCCATGTTTGTAAGAGCGTGAACAATTTCACTGCAATTCGGTAATCATTCTGGCAGTTGAATGTATTCTGAATAAAGAATTGCATTTCTAATAAAATTTCAAGCGAGCATAATCCAAGATATGAGTTATTAAAAAGAAACAAAAGAGAAAACCGAGCTCTATGTGAGACCAGAGCCGGATTCGGTTGTTTACTTCGAAGCTTGAGGAACGCGCAAGGACATGAAATCATTGGGTGAAAATACGAGCTCGCTTTCTCAGCAATCGTCTTTCGTCTAACGCGACGTCAAATTCAAAGTTCATCGGTAGCCAAACTGTTCCACGTTTTCGTCTAATTATCAATAATCATAGACGGCGAGCGACGTTAAAAACTGTAGTAGCAAGCGTTTATATTGGAATATTCCCATTTTCGTGAGCGCAGGTTCCGAGGAATTGAGCCTTAACGGTTTGTAACTGTCCAATATAGAGCATACTTTGTCAAAGACTTTTTCTTTATTCATATACAATTTATTTTCTATATATCTATATATATTTCATTGATTATTCCGTGTGTTTGTCCAATGCTTACATGCTCATTCTTCAATTCAAATTGATGATCTGTTATTATTACTATTAATTATCTGTTATTCTATCTTCTATGATAGATTTCAGACGATTGTAGATTACTTTTTTCATAATTTTTGCTATTACTGAAAGAAGCGAGTTTGATCTGTAAGACGCTGTCTGCAGATCTTTACCCTGCTTGGATATTAGCACTGCATTCTATGATCACTTTTGTTTATAATTCTTTTAGGATTTTCCCATTAATAAGGTGAAAACCAGGTTTTCACCTTATTATCTCTTTATATTCGAGATAATACCTCTAACTACTCTTATGATTGTACGTGGCACAGAATAACTATTATCGGCTGTGACATTGTCTGTCATTGTCTGTCATCGTTTGATTGCCTCTCTGAATCGTATTTATTATTTTGATATGAGAAGAATATTCCGTATGAATGATTTACAAGTGTTTTGACACGACTCTGGTACACCTTGGCCAGATCCTATCCGGTTTTTTTGGTTGCTAGAGTCGGTTTCATGTCTTTCCACAATGTATAATTGATTTCCACGTAAAAAAAATGGATATAAATAAAAGTGAGTCTAGCAAGTTTTTTTTACTGTTGCGTGTTTTTACTGACGCGTGTCCGTATATAGTCGCCTGAATCTGTTCACAGTTGCAAACACTTACTATTAAGTGGCTGGCGTACGTCCAATTTTCTGAGTGGTAATCTTATGCGTATTTATATGCGCATGGGTATTCTGAACTGAACAGTTTTTGTTTTTGACGAAAGAAAATTAGAGATCTTTAGTGATGAAGTCTTATCCTCCGTTTAACGTAAACTTGCGATGTAGGATGATAGACGCGTCCGAGCGATTTTCAGTCTTTCAATGACATTGTCAGACGAATAAGCAAACTTTTTATATATTTTCTATACTTTTTATAATACCTTATACACGATACCTAGAAAATACAGAGAAGACATGTTTGATAGTGATAGTAATGATAACGAATATTACTTTGAACCTGACAAGATAGAAGACGACGACGGTGCTTCAGAAAGTGGAAACGAATTGCGTTTAGCAAGGAATCGGTTCAGACGTTTCAATATTTCTAGTGATAGTGACAGTGATGATGAACTAAATATCGATGAAAATAATATAATCGTCTAATGTCTCTGTGTGCTAATGTCTCTCGTCTGCTCCCGTCCACAAAGGGCTAAATATTTCGAAAATTCCATATCATTCGTATCTTTCGTAGCATTTTCACGTCTTCTGTAATTTTATTCAATACTTTTTTATTTGCCAGTGTTTTGAATTTCTACCAAATTGCTTTTAATCTTTGCATACGATTCTTTTCTTTTTTTTCCCCGTCAAATCATCACCTGTTCGGTTCTTCTACATTTACCGCTCTACCCTGTATGATCACCACTCGGTTTTAGTTTTCGAAATATACATCTGCGAAAATATATCTCATAATATACTGTATTTTACTTCTGACAGAAGGTATTACACAATACACACACACAGAGTTCTAGTATTATTTACACCGGTATTGTTGTATGTATATTATAACAAATTATTAGATTTCTTGGTTTGTCTGTGCCATAGGCTATCTAACCAACCATTTATGCAAAGGCGAAACAGAAAATTTCAATCTAGATCTTGGATCATCCTTTTAGTAAATCAGTGTTGATTAGGGTAGACGAACCCTTAACGCTTCGACTTTTAATTGTGAATATCGACCGACAACCGCAACTTATTCTCATCGTACTTCGACGGACAAATTTTTAAGTGTCAGATTTTAAATGCTACAATGACGTGTAAATAATAATATTAAAGTGATTCAAAACAATCTTTATTCATCTCAGAAGTAATATAATTTTGATTACGATATTTATATGAATTATAATTAAGTAATGTGTGGATTTTTTTAAAACATTCATTGGGATGCAAACTGGGCTTGCGTTCACAGGTCTCACAGTAGAAAACTGTTTGTTTTTTTACCGCATTACTTCCTTTTGGTGAACAAACAAGACATTTTTTCTTTTCCCCTTTCGGCAACTGATTTATTATATGGAGTTTGCCATCAGAACGTTGTTCTTTATCTGTTCCGGAAGGCCTGCCATACGCATCGTTATTCCGAAAGTTACTTAGGAGTTGACTCACTAATAATTTGACAAACTTATAGTGTGACAAAGCGTTTTCTCCTTTCCTGAGAAATCTTGTAAAGTATATAAGCATTTATTACGCTTGTTTCTAGTCTTCAAAGGAGCAATTTCCGTCACCATTTCAACGATTTTCTCAGAAAACAATATCTTGATGCATATTGATCGGCTTTGTCTACAGTGCTTGAGAGGCACACTCGGAATAGATAGCCGAACATCGGTGGTGCTTGAGAGACACACTTGGAGTAGATCGCCGCACATCGGTGGTGCTTGAGAGGTACACTTGGAGCGTTAAGGGTTGAACTTGTGACCGCCGTAAAGCAACCGCATACGCCAGAATCGAACAAAGAAATTTAACAACTTGTCATAATTACCGAATATGTTGATAACGCCAGCGTGAAATAAGTTTAGGTAATAAATAATAAGACAATATTAAACTCTATATTATATTATCGTTATTAAACAATGTTAGAGCTGTATGGTGTGTACTGTAGAATACCTCAGACTAATAACGTACATGTTATAAACAGCAAAATACCACATGTAGAGTATCGAATATATTTTTGCAAATACCTCGGAAACCAAAGCCGGCAGTTAAAGATAGCATTTATATGTATGAGGAAAGTTGTTCGCAACATTGACTTTGATTATATGTCAAGGTCGTAAAAATAAGTGAAGTTTATAACTTTATAAATAACTACATGTATAATACATATATTTAATGTAGACAAAACACGATTACAGTTACATTAGCTTCAGATAAATATGTTTATTAAAAACTGTTTGTTACTTGATGTTATCTCGTGAATAAGATTGCAAACTAAGGTATCATATAAAATAATATGGCAAAACTTGATATTACAGATAGATGAAAAAGAAATCGCAAGAATAGAAGTAAAATGGATGTGGGAAGCATTGCTTTGGGGGGGATGACATCAGGACTGACCCAATCGATGTGCTGGATGCTTCTAACTATGTTTTTATATATCAAGTATGCGGTTGACGATTACGCTGCGAAGAATGTCCCTTCCGGAGCACTAATGTCGTCTTACGATTTCATAATTGTAGGCGGTGGTTCTGCAGGTACGTTTTCGATTATAAATCTAATAAAAAATGTAACGAAGATAAGCGTATCTGCGCGTTATTTACGAACGAGAATGAGCGCGTTGTTGCTCGTATGATCAATTAAGACAAAAATTTGACAATTCCTTTCTTTCGACAAATCTATCGATGAAACGTATATTAGGTTTGTGGCAAATTCTGCGTCGTAATTTCAACAAATTTCATCTCTTCCTTCACCTTTTCGAAATGAATCTTCAAATTTTTGATTTCAAAGTATTTGTAAGTTTTTGTGTGCTACGCATATTAATAATGGCAATTTACACGGCTATAGGATCCGTCCTAGCGAATCGCTTGTCCGAGATAGAAGATTGGAACGTGCTCCTTTTGGAAGCAGGTGGTGATGGATCAGAAATCTATGATATTCCTGTTCTTGCTGCTAATCTGCAGTTAACCCAAATCGATTGGAAATACAAGACGGAACCTAATAAGAATTTCTGTCGAGGTAAATAACATTTAATAATGCCTTGTTATCACGATAATAAGCATCTATCTAACTATAGAAGAAATAGTTAAAAACAATGTTTTACTTTTTATGTCGAAATAAGTAAATTAAAATGACACAAGATACATAGTATTGTCACGCTTGGAACGCATTATAGTGAATTTCGGTTATTTGGGACACACTGGAACTAGCATCCTTTGATCCGATTAAGCGGCTGTCCCAATTATGCAAAGTACCGCATATATGCTAGTCTCTATAAATTAATACATTCAACGAGGAGGTAATTAATTTTTACAGTAAATATATAAAGTCTCAGTTGGACTGACGATAGGGAGGAAGGAGAAAAGAGAAAAAAAAGGACAAACATAGAGTCGGACGCGGCACACGCAAAAACCATAGGCGTGGAATCGTTGAAACTATTTGACATCCCTGCTCAACGATAACACTGATATGATAGACATTAGCGATACTCTGTATGTTTCGTGCGGTGAATGAACGTTTTACTGCAAATCATTTTTAAACAACTCTGATTGTTCTCATATACAGAGTGGTTGGTAAATGGTGCTACAAGCGGAAAGGGGGTGATTCTACGCGAAAAAAGAAGTCGAAAATATAGAATAAAAATTTTTTTTTACTTTTTTTTTTTAATTTTTCCATCGAGACAACGATCTACAGTGAGATCCGCTATAACGAGACGTGATAAAGATATTATCTATACTTTATGCTCGTATCTCATTAATTAATTAGCTTCTTCGCTATATTTTCCATAAAATGTAATATAGAATATATGTCGATAAAAAAAAGTAAGTCAACATTTTCGCTCAAATTCAATGAAAATAGGAATTGATATGTTCTCGGTCTTTGGATCTGGCAATGGTGTTACGACCGTTCGCGGAGAGACGCGGTCGCGAGGAAAACGCGTCAGCGAGAGGCGTAAATTCTCGCTACGATTCGGTGAATCGACGCCGCGAAGTAGTCGTTCCCCTGTTTCGGTTAAGATAACAGAGGTGGTTGAATGAATATGACACAGTAGTAAGTTATATTTCACCGTTTATTCCACTAACTTATAACGTAGGTAGTTACACTGGTGCGTATGTACGAGATGAATGAGTGACTGATCTGCGGGTGTGTATACCCGCTCGAAGGATGTTGACCGTTCGAAGGATGTGAAATCAGTACCGTTTTGGGAGACGATGCTGTCTCGGAGGAAAGCTAAGGCTGGGTGTGTCTAGCGCACGGGACCATCGGATTTGTTGGTGCCGATGTTAGTTAAGAGAGTGAGGGAATAGCCTTCGTTGTTAATTGGTTAAACGAAGGGTCTTAACCGCCCTCGAGAGAAAGTGGTTAGTGGGAGGAAAGTTGCAGCGTACGTGAGAAAAACTAACTTTCCCTTGTCTAGCCGTGGTAGACAATAGTCTTTGAAAATTCTTCGGAAACAGACGTTTCTTTTTGGTTTGAAGGACCTTTTCTAGGAAATCTATGAGATTTATGGCAGGGACTTGAAACTATGGAGGATGCGCTGCGAGTATCCGAAGACATCTGGTTGCCATACTGCCCGCGGTGTGTGGCCTGGGCTAGGTAGAGTGTTACGCGACGTAACAAATGGTATATTTTATCGTATAGATTGTTCTTTAGATTTATCGTCTTTTTTTTACGTGTTTCATTTTCAATAGATGCATGCTTCCGGAATATTTTTGTTGCTACTATCGTCGATACAACTACCAAAAGGTGCAAGCAAGAAGTATTACGCAGTAACATAGAGGTGGTGGAAATCACCTCATTCCATTTCACGCTAGAAAAGGCAGGATTATTTTAGACAGTCTCGAAAGGATTGAGACATCATATAGCTACATTGAGGTATTATAGGCTACAATGATATAGCTGGACAAAGAGCGATTCCTCGTGAAAAATAAATCGGGAATATTGCAGAGTAAAATTTTTGCACATGTTGCTCTGTTTTCTAAAGAAATCATTTTGGAATTCATTATAGGAACACTTGTTACAAAATTTTTCATGAATATATGATGTGCAATGTACGGAACTTTTTAAAATGTCCTTAGTACTATAATGAAATACGGCTATCCTGACTATAATATTAAAATTTGAGGCCATTCAGTAAATGTATGTGGAAGTGACAAGATGTTTATTGCGAACATACACTCAGTGAAAAATTAATATACAGCATGAATAATAGTCTTAAACATAGAATTAGTGCTAACGACCGTCTCACTACAAATTGTGGCTTATTAATACAATAAATAATCGGTTATTCGTATAATATTGAATAATAATTGGTAATATCTTGTAACTTCTATTATATTTCTATGTCTATTTCAAATTTTACTAATCGCAATTATAGTTGTGTTTCGCTGCAGTGTTAATGAGATTCCAAAATGTTTTGCAATATATACGGAGTGGTTGATAAATGGTGGTACAAGCGAAAAGGGGGTGATTCTACGCAAAAAAAGAAGTCGAAAATATATATGTTTTTTAAAGCCCCAGCTCACAGAACCTGTGAAAAACTGGAAAAGATATCCACCATTAGATTTTCTATTGTCTTTGCCCTCTATTCATTCTACGTCTGCAAATCCAATTAACGTCGTGGTTTCATTTTATAGTCCGTGTAATTACTTTCCATTTGTTGCCCTCTTGAAATATCGAGCAACTCTTTTCACTTCCTTTCTCCTCCTCTTCTGTAACTCATGATTTCTCTCATTATTCAATATGCAATCTATTTTCTCATCCACTGTATTTTTCCACTTATCCTTATCTTGTCGACACAAAAGTTGCTTTCTATTTTTAGGTTTCTCTTTTGCGTCAATTGCCACTCACAAAGTGTCTATATATCTGTTCGCTCATACTCTCCTTTTTGTCTTTTCGGATCTTTTGGGCACTGCACACTGCGTTTGATTTTGTAAATTCTCGTTCGAAAATGTTCACTATCGATGAGCTGTTTTTCTCGGCGAGTCTGCTCATTTTTCAAACATTTTGCTGTAATCCTTTTGTAGGTTCGAAGAAAACGTCTTCGCACGATTGCCTTCCTGCAGGCGTTTCTTTGATTTTATTCATATTCATACAATCTGTATCTTTGTATAATAAACCGAAATGTTTTAAACGCCTCCGAATAACCCACGAACAACCCATTAGTTTTTCTGTCTTCTCATCCAGAGAAAATGAATCTATTGACGAATCGAAAGAGGTATTAATGCGAATCGATAACCAATCAACGTGGATATTTGACAATGGATATTTCACTTTAAATTATGCCCACAGCGATGGAAGGAGGTCAATGCAACTGGCCACGTGGCAAAGTGATCGGAGGGACCAGCATGCTAAACTACATGCTCTACGTTCGCGGTAACAAAAAAGACTACGACACGTGGGAACAGCTAGGCAATACCGGATGGTCCTACGACGATGTGCTACAATATTTCAAAAAATCTGAAGATAATCAAAATCCTCTCCACGCCGAAACGCCGTATCATTCAACCGGAGGTTACCTAACCGTTCAAGAAGCGCCATGGCACACTCCCTTGGTCACTGCGTTCATCAAAGCAGGTCTAGAAATGGGTTACGAAAACAGAGATATCAATGGAAAACGACACACTGGATTCATGGTTGCTCAAGGGACGATCAGACATGGCAGACGGTGTTCCACGGCGAAGGCTTTTCTACGACCAATCAGGACGCGGAAAAATTTACACGTCGTCATGGGAGCTCATGTTACGAAAATTTTAATAGATCCGTCGTCGAAAGTGGCTTATGGCGTAGAGTTTGTTAGAGACGGAGAAAGGTTGTGCGTTCGTGCGAAAAAGGAGGTGATCGTTTCCGCGGGATCTATCAATAGCCCTCAATTGCTGATGTTGTCGGGAATCGGACCTAAAGAACAATTATTGAAACACGGCATACCAGTGATTCAGGATTTAAAAGTGGGTCATAATCTTCAAGATCACGTAGGTGTGGGAGGTGTTGCGTTCTTGGTGAACGAAGAAATTGCGTTGGTGGAGAGCAGGATATATAATATTCAGGATATGCTAGGATATGCGATTTTTGGAGACGGTCCTTTGACATTGCTAGGAGGTATCGAAGGAGTAGCTTTTATCAATAGCAAATTCGTGAACGGTTCTGACGATTTCCCAGATATAGAACTGCTTTTGGCGGCAGGAGGGGCGTGCTCCGACGGCGGTAGAAATATGTGGAAGGTTCATGGACTGACCAACAAATTCTACGATGCCGTGTTTGGGGAAATTAGTAATAAAGACGTATGGTCCGTGATTCCTATGCTTCTAAGACCAAAAAGTAAAGGTTTTATCGCACTTCGAAGCAGCAATCCTTTCGATTATCCGTTGATTTATCCAAACTACTTCGACCAACCGGAAGATATGGCGACGCTGATCGAAGCACTCAAATTTGTGTTTAAAATGAGTAAAACTAGCGCGTTTCGACGTTATGGTAGCAAAATGAATCCTAAACCATTCCCTGCTTGCAAAAATATTTCCATGTATACCGACCCATACTGGGAATGCATGATTAGAGAGTACTCCATGACTATATATCATCCCACGGGTACCTGTAAAATGGGGCCCAATTGGGACCCAGAAGCTGTGGTGGATCCTCGGCTCCGAGTTTACGGAGTTGCTCGACTCCGAGTCATAGATGGCTCGATTATGCCAAATATAGTTAGTGGTAATACCAATGCGCCGATTATAATGATCGCAGAGAAAGGTTCAGATATGATAAAAGAGGAATGGCTGAAGAACGAGGTCTGATATCAATAGCTCTTTTCGTAAATTAATTTAAAGCGAGTGCTGGTAGTTCATTAAATACTAGAATCTTACAATCTTCAACACAACATAAGTTTTCGCTACTAATTTCTATTACGTAATACAATGCTTAACATACAAATCATAGGTGCAGTCTTTGAATCAGTGCAGATCTGTTGAAAAAAGTTAACCGCAACATTGATCTTGAGCGCGATTTCCAAGCAAAAATATTCTTATTGCATCTTGTAGTATTTATTACGAGGAATAAGCTTGGAAGGAAATATGGATCGCGAATGAACTCATGGTTTTTCACACTTAGCCAACCGCGCGCGCCACAACGAGCTATACGCTTCCAACGCTCAATTTTCTAAGCATCGAGGATTAATATTTACTACTTAAAACACAAAGAAGTCTGAAAATTATTTATACAATTATCTTTATAAAATATAAGTCAATTATATTTTGCGGTAATGATTTTATTAAACGACTTCACATATTGTTTGTACAAAACATGAAATTAAAAGTATATATTAAAAGTATAAAAAAATATAGGTACAATTAAAAATTCATAATGCATTTTAATATTTTTTTACAGTGTGGTATCTATCTATAATAGATCTCTATCTCTTATCTATAATAAGTTATTATCTTATACTTATTATAAATATTTAGCCATGTCATTGCGCCACGCCAGAAAAAATTACTGAAAATTCTCAATGCGGGAATTGATTGTAAACATTAATAAATAAAAGAAAAGAAAAAGTGTGATATCTTTCGATTATAACTTCATTTAGTCATAACTGATAATGTAACTTTTGAATTAATTTTAAAACCACTAAATTGATGTATTTTATTATATACTGTACTTATAAAAGCAGAAAAAGTGGCGCAATTGATTGGGAACAATTCCAGGTAAACAATAACTGAAAATAACCAAAAAAAAAGAAAAGGCGTTGATAAAGTCAACAAGGGAGATCTCCCTATTCGGTCGGCTAAGTGTTAAGTATTTTTTTTGTACCCGTCCATGATCAAATATGGTCATGTTCGCCTTCTCAGGCACCCCCTTTTCCGGAAGAGACACGGACGCGTCGTTGCGCCCGATGTCTTATGGGAATTTGTCATCCCTTCTGGCCCGTCAGCATTTTCACTTGTACTTTCACTATGTAGTTTGTACTTCGTACAAGTTCATCGTCAACCTACACGATTATTTCACGATACTACACTAATGACACAGTGACGTAATATCTTACGCTGCCAATGGCGCATCGTCATCAAGCATACAATTTCCATTACTAGAACTACTGTATAAATAAAACATCTTCTTGAGTGACAATTATACTAATGTAAGTGTAAAAACGATTAGAATGGAATTGAACTCTGCAGCTGTGCAACGGTATAAGAGATAAAGGAATTACGTTTCTAATGACATAGCATGTCAATATTGACTTCTTAGAAAACTTCTTTTCCACTCTTCGAATGCACAATATAATCACGTGTACTAATTACACGAAGAACGGAAAAGAAGTTTTCTAAGCAATCAATATTCACACGCGATGTCATTAGAAACGTAATTCCTTCTTCTTTTAAATCGTTGCACAGCTGTAGAGTTAATTCCCATTCTATTATACTTATCTATAATAAGTATTAACTTATTATAAATAATTAGCCATGTTACTGCGCCACGCTAGAAAATTTACTGAAAATTCTCAACGCGAGAATTCATTGTAAATTTTAATAAACATAAAGAAAAAAAAAATTTCCATTCTAATCGTTTTTTCGAATCATCCGCCGTGTTAGGATAAAATCGTGAAAGCGTACGCTTATTTGCGTTGGCATCACGGGCGCATCTACTGTTTTTAATTTATCAAATAAATCATTGAAAGTTTCAAAGAAAGTAGCCGTGTGTTCAACTGTCGGTGAACAATGCAGACGACACTCTCTTACCTAAATCGTACTAGTGTTTGACAGTATGTGTCTTTCTGATGATTTATAAGCTGCTCGTGTATTTTTATTTTTTTCTAAATTTCACAGTGGGATCATATTGGACCAAGAAACCCAGGATCCATTAGTTAAGAAATAATTTTTTAATAAATTATTCCGCATACTCTTAAATAAATGTAAAAAATTGAAAAGAAAGTGAGGTGAATATGCCATAGTGCTGCTGCTGGTGTAGATGTCGCTGTACCGCTTTTTATTTCTTTTTTGCGTCCGAAGACTTACACGGATTGAATTGGTTCCTTTTTTGTTTCTTCTGCATTTTGCAAAGCACGTGGTGGAAAGAGAAAATCGGACTACGGGTGCCGGGATTTGAATCTGGGTCCTGAACGTTCTCAACCAAAGGCGCTAACCACTTCGCTGCCGTCGTCCGGTCTTAGTTGCTGTCGAGTGCCGCCATGAAAGTATACTTTCCGGGGCTATTTCTTGTAAAAGAAAGTTTTTGAATAAAAGTTCGACATCAGCTATGCTTTGATTGCTAATTCGATTATTGATCGTTAAGAAATCATTTTTTAATAAATTATTCCGTATATTCTTAAATAAATGTACAAAATTGAAAAGAAAGTATACTTTCCGGCCATTCCTTGTAAAAGAAAGTTTTTGAATAAAAGTTTGATATCAGCTATGCTCTGATTATTAATTTGATTCCTGATCGGAAACAATCACTTTTGAAACCAGTTTCATTCGATGCACCTAAAATTTTATCTAAAATCGTTCCTTTTTATGCCAGATTTCGAAACAAAACAAGCCAATTTTCAATTAGTGAATAGCTCCGGTAGGATAAAAACAAGAACTTGACAACCCACAGCTATGCTATGGCCCAAAACACCTAAATCTTCAAAACCTTTAATAATCTGTCTGGATAGGTGAAAATCTAAATATTTCTTGGTAGCCTTTTCATAAAACGAAGGAACTCAATTTACAATCTATCATATCCATACGATATTGATTCATATAATTTTTATCGCGTTAAATATATTTTGACAAATTCCAGACCAAATATCTATTTAGCAAAACCCATATAAAAATAAGACTAAAAAGAAAACATCTCACTGACCTCACTAAAGAAATAAAATAGACAAACTCGAAGATGGTATCCCGCTGGGGCTAATAAAGTTAGAAAAATTTACCAAATGTCCAGCTGGACAGATTGTAAAGTACAAATTAAATAAAAAAAACAACACGCATTGTATTGTAGAAAGTTGGCGAACTGTAATATATTGCCATACACAACTTACGTTCGTTCTATGTGAAAGTGTTTTTGGAAGTTTTACATAGCAACATCAGTATGAAAATTAAAGCAAAATCAGATACTCTTTTTGCGATTGCTTTCTTCGAACACGTATTATCGTATTATCGTATTACACGTATTATGCTCATAATTACAAGCGATGAATATTAGATGTATTCTTCTCCTGCTTTCATTGTTCTTTAATTTCCATTGACCCACTATCCTGCACATCGCGTTTTTTCGTTAACGAACTGCTTTGAACGTTACAATTTTCGTCGGTCATATCTGTACCTTGGCGTAGAAACATTTTCGGTATAGCATTTTTTCGCAATATACACGACGGATGAAAACTACTTTTTAAAAAATACCGACTACATACGTATTCTTTTTTTTTTTTCAATTCTGTGGTATTCATTTTCAACCTCCAATTATCTAAAGCACAGTTAACCAGCAACGTTATGCATCTATCACTTATTATTTACAGGGAAACGGTGAAAACTGGTGGTGTTATTCCTATACACACACTTTTTATAATGACTTTTACGCGAAAACGTGTGACATCCCATTTTAAATGATTAAACAAAACTATATACAATTATGCATTACACGTTTCGCACAATACAGAATAACGAAATTGCATATGCGCAATATAAACATTTACATATAGCGTCGTCCCGTAGTTCGCGTAAAAACTAACAATATTCTCTCATTCGCTACTGTCATTGAGTCTGAATGGTTGATGTTAAATATATTAGGTTGTTCCAAAAGTTATTTTATTTAATTATGTATGATCCGTTTTGTTCCAAAAGAACAGAAGATGATGTGCATCTATTATTTCCTTATAAAACGAAAGATACTTTTGGAACAACCTAAAAGATCGGTCATTAACTTAATTATAATTCCTACCATACCAACAACGCTGGTATCTTATTCTACACTGAATCGATAATGTCGCTTCCGATACTAAAATGGTATGGGAGACTAAGTAGCTGTTGAGTCGTGGGGCACCTTTCTCGCAGTGCATGTACGGTTTATTCTATTCTTAATCAATAATACGATATTTTGACCTATACCTCAGTTGTAATTTCATATTATAATTTAATTCTAATTCCGACCATTACGAACGCTGTAATCTTATTCTATGCTCAATCGATAACGTTTGGAATGACACTGCAATGGTAAGGGACTCTATATCCCCGTTATCCTAGAACATAAAAAGACATTGGATAATAAGTTTATCCTGTTCCTTGTCTGTGGTGATACAATAGATTTATCCTGTACATGACCAACAAGTATATATAACTTATACCAAAGAGTATATGAGAATGCTCACGCCTGTATATTGCATTGGTCTCCCTAAAAGTGCTGCCTCTAGCGGCCAACTGTTGCTCTGGTTCAACTTTAGTATATGCAAGTTATTTTCTGTATTTTTACATTTTCTGTTATTTTCTAAATCTTTTTTATTTAGTTTCAACGCAAGTGATTTGGGTATGTAGTGTGTATAGTGTGTATAGTGCGTGTTGTATTTATCGTGATTATTGTGTACTTTGAGAAAAAACAGAGGCTATATTGAACATTTACTGTAATATAAAACGATTGCTATTTTCGTTACGATTTTTCTGTTAACAGTCTGGACATTCGCGGACGGGACAGTCGCAGTGAGTGTATGAAATTTGTATAAACATTGTTTATATGTGCTATTATTTATTGATTATTTATGGAGGCAAAGGATTAGAAGAAACATTAACCTTTTTACTTGGGAATTCTATGAAGTGGTTTTCGATATACTGTTATGGATTTTATCTAGTAGGCAGGTATAATGTTTAATCTACGATTTTTCTTACAAAACGTCGTACGGGACGACTTACGTCTTCAAATGTCATAATCTTTCTGTCTCTACGATTTTTACGAGGTAAGCTGCTGCCCATGTACCGTTCGATTTCAGGATCCCTGAGCATACCGCTGCTTAGGCAGACCTACTTTCGTTCGTGTAAGGAGATTTGCTCGCGTACAGTGGTATTTTGGCTGATCTTGAATTGTAAATAACTAAAAAGCAAAACCGAAAACGCAATATTTTGTTCTTGAATTTCATTTTGTTTTAGCTTGAAGATTCACCCCTTAAGTTTATTTACGCCTATAGTCGAATATCCTGTATAATGCCATTAACCTGTCAATCGGCGTTTTTTCCTATACATGTTACCGTTACTAGGTAACAGATAGACACGCACAATATTTGAAGTATATA